GTTGACAGAATGAATATAGAGAGAATGATTTTTTTTTTGTTTTTTGTTAAGAGAATTAATTTTTTTTTAAGAGAGAAGAAAGATGAAGGTAATGAAGGAGAGAAGAGAGATAAACTTTTTTTTTAAAAAAAATTATAGTAAGGGTATTTAAGACTTTTCATGTGCCAAAATGGCTACAAAAGATGTTTTTTTCAAACTATGGCTAAAATTTGTGTTCATCATTTTTACATGGCTAAAAAAAAATTTCTCTGTTTTTTGTTTGTCGACCTTCTACCAAGATGTACTTAGAAAAACAAATGTGTGCGTCAAACTAAGTATTACCAGATTCGTCGACCTTTCACTAAGTTCGCCCAAAACAACCCTCACACTTAGAAAAAGTTTTACATTTGACAATAATCCGCTGAGGTCAACAAAATCCAAACTTCGAATTTTTTTTTTGCCATCAATGTTAAGAATATGTTGTTCGCCCAATCTATCGCTGAGGTATCCCAGTCATAAATACATATATGGTGTAAATAGTTATCGTGGAATACAATAATATTAGAATTTTTTAAGTTATGAAATCTGCAAATAAATTATTTATTATCTTATCTAATGTATATTTATAAGAAAAATATCATACATAAAAAAATTAAAATTTGGTTTTGATAAACTCTGTAAATTTGAAGGAATTGAACCAATAATATATGAGCCAGTCCGAATTATTGACCTGGAAGGGCTAACTCAATTACTTCTTATAATTTAAAATGAAATATCCTAGTACAAGGTTATTATTAAGCATACATAAATCTTGAGTAAAAACCACACGGTTGGTTTCATCATGGAATGCACACAATTCCAACATACTTTTACATGCATACATTCTAATAATAGCCCCCTCCATATTCCTCAAATAATTCTCCTTACCTTGCGCTCCACCCCCAAAATAAAAGAACAAAAAAATAAAAAAATATGTTTCCTCTCAATCTCATCTTCTCCATCATCTTGCCCCCTCCCCTCTCCCTCCCTCCCTCGATCTCGGCTCTCTTCCATGGGAAAGTCGACTCCGATGGGGTCGTCGCCGGACTCGGAGCTTGGGATAAAAGTTCAACCCCGCAAGAGTGACCCACACCCAGTTGGCGGGCCCTACCCTTACCCGCCCTACCACCTCCCTTCGAGGAAATGGTTCCCATGGGTGGTCCCCACCATTGTGACTGTCAATATCGTTGTCTTCGTCATTGTGATGTACGTCAACAATTGCCCAGCCAACTCCGACTCTGACTCTGACAACAAATGCGTCGGTGAATCCACTCTTGGCCGATTTTCATTCCAGAGCACCCATGAGAACCCCTTGCTAGGTCCCTCTGCTGTCACGTGAGCAAGTTACTAAATTATATGTGTACATCCAATATTTAACATTGTAGTTTTTTGTTTAAAAAAAAGGCACAAAAAAACTAATATAAACAATTTCTCATTAGTTCTAATAATCTCCACCTAATTCGGGACAATTTGTTAGTAATAATTTAAGGTTTTACATATCTACACAAATTATATGTCTCCAGGCTTCTTAAGATAGGGGCATTGGAAGTACAAAAAGTGGTGGAAGAGCACCAAGTTTGGAGGTTGGTGTCCTGCATGTGGTTACATGCTGGAGCATTTCATGTGTTGGCCAACATGTTGAGTCTTCTATTTGTTGGCATTCGACTCGAACAAGAGTTTGGATTCGGTATGCATGTAACCTGACCTAACTCTGTTGTTATGTGGTCATGAGCATCGATCATTATCTTTTATATAGTTAATAAAATCATCAAATTAATGTCACGAATTGGCAAAAATATTTAAATGGTTGTTACTATTAATAAAATATGTAACTATTTAACGACTAAATCGTTATTGTAATTATTTAGCATCTTATATATGTGTGAGTGTATGCGCGCGCATGTGTGTGTGTGGGTGTGTTTGTATTTTTTAGGCAAAATTGCAATTTTAGTCTTGTTGGTTTGATCCAGTGGCGTTTTAGTCCTTAGAATTGAACATTTTTGCTATTTGGTCCTATCATTTTAAAATTCAACGCAATTTGACTCCTTTGGGATTGAAAATGCAACAAAATTTAATTTTACAGGACTTTAGTTGCTAATAAAAAATCTTTTGGATGAATTTTTAAATTAGCAATTTAATTACTGTAAATTTGAATTTTGTTACAATTTCAATGCCAAAGGATTGAAATTGCAGCAAAATACTAAATTACATGATCAAAAGATAAAAAATTGAAATCGTGGGACTAAAAATGCTACGACGTTAAACCAACAAGACTAAAAGTACAATTTTGCCTATTTTATTAGTATGAATAAAGGTGAAAACAAGGATTATTTTAGGTAAGAAGAAAATGCTTTACTCGATATATATGTTGTTTTTTGTTGCATGTTGATGATGTGTTATGCATTTGTTGTTATTCAGTGCGGGTTGGTTTATTGTATGTAATATCTGGAGTGGGTGGTAGCTTGATGTCGTCTTTGTTTGTACGCAATACCATTTCTGTTGGTGCTTCTGGCGCACTATTTGGCATGCTTGGCGCTATGCTGTCCGAATTGCTCATCAACTGGACAATTTATGAGAACAAGGTATGTATGCAAAGTTTTGTTTTTTTTTATTAGCTAGAAAGATAACTAAGTTAATCTACAACTATTTGTAAGTATAAATATTTTTGTAAAATCCAGTTATGATTTAAATCTACAACTATTTACTAAAGATGGCATTATGAATGTAGATGTGGCTTGTGTACAAAATTTGTAAACATACAAACAAAAAAATAACATTTCTAAATATAACTATCCTAGATGATTTGGAGAGTAATAATTATGAATTTTTCTATAAAACTAGATTTGGGGAGTCATGATTACTGATTGAGTAAATCGCAATTTTAGTCCTGTATGTTTTATTGCCCTAACTTTTTCGTCCTCTTCGAATTGCATTTTTTATTTTCATCCCGTATGTTTGAAAAAATGTTACAAAATGTTATTTTCATACATAAGGGACGGAATTTGAACCTTTTTTTTTTGCAAAATATAAAAGACTTTTTTTATTGCGAAAATGACCTTGTTGTAACCTTTTGCAAACATACGTGATGAAAATAAAAAACGCAATTTGGAAGAGGAACAAAAAGTTAGGGTAGTAAAACATAAATGACTGAAATTACAATTTATCCTTATGATTTGACATCTATCATTCATTGTATGAGTATGACCCATGAACCAAGTCACCATTAAAAATATATCTTACACAAACCTAAAAATTGCATATTTAACATCACAAAGATAATAGACTAGAGTTAAATGTGACTTCTCAAGAGGATAGTTTTTAAAAAGAAGTTTACATTTAAAAAGAATATTTTATATTGTCTTGTTGTAACTACTAAAGCCCAAGATACATTATTCACAATTTTCCTTCCTTCAAAAAAAAA